CAGCCGAACATGCTCTGCATCCAACTGGATCGGCTGAGCCGAAGCCGGAGAGCAACGGCGAGTCAGCGCAGGTCCGGCGGGAGGAGTTCCAGGTGGGGTTCTAATTTAGCTGCCCAGCACCTCTGGGCCAGCTAAATTAGGACCCCACCTGGAGCTCCTCCCACCGGACCAGCGCTGACTCATCACTGGTCTCCCGCCGCAGTACAGTGAGTGATGGCAAGTGTGTGTGGGGGGGTGATGACGACGACTAATTGTAAAGCAGGGACTAATTGTAAATCTTTGGTCTCCAGTGTATAAGCAGTGTGTACCCTATATGTAATACATATAGGGTACACACTGCTTATACACAGGAGACCTTAGATTTACAATTATACTAACATGAATGTATTAAATGATCTGTATGTAGCCCTGTACTTTGGATCATTTAACCCATTCATGTTAGCAGAGGATAATTGTAAATCTATTGTTGCAGTGCACTCGATATGTACATGTACTATATACTACATATATCATGCACTGCAACAATAGATTTACAATTATCCCCTGCTAACATGAATGGGCTAAATGACCCATAGTACATAATATGTAGTTGTATTATGGATCATTTCACCCATTCATGTTAGCAGTGCAGAATTGTATATCTATTCTATCTGTACACATGTCCCGTACACTGCAGTAATAGATTTACAATGATCCCCTGCTAACATGAATAGGTTAAAGGATCCATAGTACAACTACATGTTATGTACTATGGATCATGATTTAACCTATTCACATGAATAGGTTAATTCATGATCCACAGTACATAACATGTAGTTGTACTATGGATCATTTAAAGTCACCTGTCCCTTTAATAAAAAAAAAACACACAAAAAAAAAAGTATCGGTAATTGGTATTGGCAAGTACATGAGGGGAAGTACTTGTACTTGGGCCTGAAAAAGTGGCATCGGGACATCCCTAGATAGTAGTATTGGAATTGATGCCGATACTAATATTTGGGCGAGTACTCATACTCACCCAAATGCTCCAATGCCTAGCCCGATACCTGAACTTCCGGCATCAGGAAGCCGGGCAGCGAGTCATTACATGCTGCCCATGCTTCCCGATTGGCCAGGAAGCCGGCTCTATGCTCCCTTGTCACTTGTGACAAAAGAGCATGGAGCTGGCTTCCTGGCCATTTAGGAAGCCGGGCAGTGTGTAATGACTCGCCGCCTGGCTTCCTGATTGGTCGAGAAGCTGGCCAATCAGGAATCCAGGTGGCAAGTCATTACCTGCCCATCCAGGCTTCCGGATTAGCCTGAAAGCTAGATTCATGTGACAAGGGAGCACCACCTGGTGACGAGGGAGTATGGAGACGGCTTCCCTGCTAATCGGGTTGCCGGATGGTGAGTCTTTACACGCTGCCCGGCTTCCCGGCTAATCAGGAAGCCAAGTGGCGAGTCATTACACGCCACCTGGATTCCTTAATGGGACTTCTGGTACCGGTATTTGGTATTAGCGAGTACCGAAAAAAAAATATTGGTACTCGATACCGAAAAACAGGTATCGGTGCATCAATTCAGATAGCTGTTGCCTTTTCCAAAATAAAGGGAATAATAATCTTTGGACCACATGTGCCCCAATAATACTGTGCTGTAAATAATTGATGTGAGATCTTATCCTATTATGAGATATTACTTTTAAGTTAATAAAACAAGGCAAACTTATTAGCAGCAGTGATGACACATTTGCCTTTATGCCTGTACATTTAATACTAATGCTGTAGGAGTATGCGACCATTGCTCTATGTGCTGTGAAATTCAATAAAGCCCAGTGTAGCAGAAGGTTATAGCTACTTATGTGAGATTACATTGCCCATTACATTGGCTGCCTTGATTCTCAGCCAGACTCAAATTAAGTGCCTCCCTATGTCATCTGTATTGTAAGCTCTCCCCTCCAATAACTACAAGTCTATTCAACACAAATAATATTATATAAAAACAGTATTCTACATATAGTGAAGCGTTAATTTCCTAGTAATGTAACCCTGGACTTCCACAAGAAACACTCTGGACAGTCTAAACCTTGCTACAAATACCAGAGGGCAGTCAGTAATGCAGGAACAGTTCAAACGCCCTCAAACATCTGTGCCTTGGGTGAACATTCATATTTATTCTATGAGGTAAGGAAGCACACTGAAAAATGATCAGGAGAAAAGCATTAGTAAACAAACAAGGTTTGCTAGCCTGTCCAATTTCTATCTGCCCCACAAAGCCTTGGCCAGTGGTGGCTGCAGGTACAAATTCAAACCTGCTGATTCTATACTGCAGATCAACAGTTAAAGTATAGCTAAAGCTAATTTTTTTGTATGGTGTAGAAAATGGTTAGAACACCTGGAAGTTTTTTTTGTTTTACCATGTAAGTCCCAGAGAGATTTCTCTTCGTTTCCTATTCTGGAGACACAACAGGGAGTGAGAGAAAGTGTCTCTAAAGTTAGGATAAAACTGGTTTCCACCAGAACAGGTGTCCCCACTGGAAAATGTCCACTCTATTTCTGTTCCTCTGACAGCCACAACATTTTTAATTTACCATCACGATGGTAACTAGAATAGAGAGGGTGAATCTTCCCAGCCAGGATACATACAGCAATAAAAAATCCATGTAAATTCTAACCCTTCCCCACTCTATCCAAAAAAGTGGTCCAAGGAGGAAGTATTTTTTTTTCTTCTATTAAAAACCAAAAACCATTGTATGTAATAACATATAGCAATTTATCTGATACAGTATGTGTTGACCAGAACATGCTATGCGTTTTACCCACCTCCAGTTCCGTTGTATCTTGTCCGGCTTTACTGAAATACTTAAGAAAGTCCTGAAAACGGATAAAAGAATAACATTTAAATTTAATGTTTAGACAAAACTGATTTGCTGCATTTTATTCTTCCATCATAATTTGTTTTTGATATACTGTACATATGAAACAGAACAACAGCTTAATATAAATAAGGACCCTGTCCTAAGCAGTAGTCCCTGGTCTACATTTAGTGTTACAGCTAAGTTGCAACCAGCCTGAGCTCTGATTTATAATTCTAGTTCTGCTTTTGTTGGGTTTGCCCTAAGCTCAGTTTTATTGTTTGATTCTGCCTGCTATTTGGCAATGTCCCTAGCAATAGTATAAAAAGATACAATAACTGTGAGTTATGAATGTTTATGTCTCTCTGGCCAACAACTAGGATGCTTATTACCAGTGATGACGTTCTGAAAGCTTTCTTGCCTCCTGGGCTTTGTCCAGGAGATGAGGCTGTGTTGTTGCTTTCTCTATCCTCCCAGGCCTGCTGCCTGGGTGTGTGTGTGTGTTTATTAAAGAGAAGCCCAAGCCTGGGAACTAAAACTTTCTTCTGCCCTGCTGGAGGGCATATACAGGGCAAGAGGTACAGTATGGAGGCCTGAGTTGGAGCATCAGGGTGAAATTTCATCTTCTGAAGAGTATCCAGAAGATCTGAGAACAAGCTGGGGAAACTTCAGGGAGTAGGAAGAATACAGATTGTGGGTCCAGCTTAGGGCTCATTAACACGAGTGTGCACATCTGTACGGTGTGCACGCCCATGCAGAGACCTGCTCCCAGGAGGGACAGGTGCTGCATGTAATTGTGTGCAGCCGCTTGTGCATCCCTATGGGAGGATGATGCTACACACCGACCTGTACCTGCACATCCGTGAAGGTCCAGGTGTCTGCTCTTTATATGTTTTTTTTCTTCTCTACTGACACTAAGCCATCTGGGAGTCCTCATCTGCCTTCAGAGGGTAGGGGGGTGCTACAAATCTTATCTGTTCTAATGCTTTAAAACCCAGCTCCATTTATAACTTGTAGTTATATATGTACATGAAGATAGTCATATTTGCATAATAAATACACAAGCCCAGCTTCTTGCTTTGCAGTGCTGCCTAATGGTTCTGCTTTACTAAACCGTTTCACAGTGCAAGCTTATAAGTCAGAACAAAAAACAACACACTTCCTGTGTGGCTAATATGCTGTCTCCAAAAACTTGTACTGAGCTACAAATATCTACCTATATTCAACTAAAACCCATCTCCAAGCTCAAATGCCCCTAAACACTGCAATAATTACTAAAACAATGCTTTCAGTGAAAATACACAATACTTTCTTTTGAAAACCAATGCAGAAAAAAATGTCCATTTGCTCTTTAAATCGGATAATTTTTTTTGAAAGGAACATTTACTTTTGCAAAATGCATAATATATAGTGAGTTGCACCATGCAAATTGTTGGTGAGTGATTAATGTGTCCCATACCTTTAGCAGCAGCTGGTACTTCATGATCCTTTGCACTGGTTTGATAAGTAGGTCATTGAGTTGCAGGCGATGTGACAGCTGTTGCCTCAACTCCTGCAGCAGCATGGCCAGAAAGAGAGAATTTGATTGGTGAAATTAATCTAATTCATTAGCCTTTATGCACTAGTAAATCAACTGTCCATTACATCTGCAGGAAGCAGTACATTTAGGTTTCTCTATTTTTTGCAAGAAATCACTCAACGTTTTGCCCACAAACAACAAAAAGAAAGGATGGAGTATTAAAACAAAGGGAAAGTAAGGAGTGGGGTTGTTGCTAGAGTGAAAAACATGATTGTTTGCAGCCTAGGCTATGACAAAATAAATTGGGTTATAACTAGCTGGCATGAGCAACACTTCCACTTTATTCTACATATATTATTGATGAATTGACCTTAAAATATTCAGCAAGCTATAAATGGGTTCCACAATTTCTAGTCATACCACAGAGGATAGTCGAGGACACCTGACGACATTATTCATGTTCTACCACATCTGGTTATAATGTAACAGAAAACAGGGTATTTAAAGTTTAACTGCACTTTTGATACAGTTATACTGATATCCTAGTCCTCCTCCCAGCTTTTAAATATCCTCCTATTTAGCAAGATATCACTAACAAAATCACACACACGCTCATTAAAATGTTTCCAGCCTGGACTTCACATGTGCTATGCACTCTCATTCATGTCCACTGAGTCAATTATTTATTTGGAGCTTTCGAGTAGAAATGAAAACTCAGAAGATCTATTGGAATGGATGGAGAATGCAGAGCACTAGCATTAGCCCAGCCAGAAAGATTTTAACAAGTGGTTGTGTGGTTGTGTGATCTAGTCAGATATTTCACTGGATAGGGACAGGTGAGTATGAGAATGGTAGAGGGTCGACAGGAGGCTGGGATATAAGTGTACCTGCACCAAAGGTGTACTTACACTTTAAAGGTGATCTGAACTGAGGACGTTTGGAGACACTGCTGGCCTCTCCTTCAGAAGAAACTAGTTCTCTGTCTGTCATGCTGACAGTGCTTTCAGTAGTTTCTTAATCACTGACCTGAAACCATGAAGCTGATCAAGAGCCTTGACCTCATTCAGACTTTCTGATCTGCATTTCTGTTACAAGTCAATGACTCAGAAAGTATTGAAGCCAGAGCCAGGGAACTGGTATTTTCAAAAGAAGGTCTGCAATGGCATAGTCAATGTTCAGAGATGATTTGATGATCTACAGCCGAGTGATACACAAATAAGATACATTTGTGTTAATAGTTACTTTAATGCATTTTTAAGATTGAACTCCTGAGTTTAGTGTCACTTTAATGAGTTCCATTCCCACTGAAGAAGTGGTTTAATAAGCTGTGAAACGTCTTGAGCATTACAGAACAAGTCCAGTTGAATGTGACTAACTACTACTACCTCCAATACCATGACCTGCATAAATGAGGCCCTACAGAGGCATCATTTTAATTACCTTAGAAGACTAATTTAACCACTTGAGACCCTTGACCTTTTTCTTCCTAAATCCTCTTCAGGACCATTATACTTTTTAGTGTTTGTAAGCTGTTCTAACCTATTATACATTTATTTTGGAACAGAAAGGCCTTTAGGCCCCTTTCACATGGATACTCAGTTCCAATTAGCAGGGGATCCATGCACAAATTCCTGCTGATCAGAGCAGTACGGAATGGATGTCACCATCTTACGTTAGAGGAAAAAAATGAATTTGCCGGACCAATGTTAGGTCTATGGGGAGTCGGATGTAAGCGGACATGTATCTGTTTACATCAGATTACCTCACTGAGAACCGCTGAGTCCAGGTGCCATTTTAAAACGGCAATGGGACAAACAGTTGCAGACCTTGTGTGGATTTAAAGCACTACGCGGGACTCAAGTAGTTAATATATAAAAGAAATTTCAATAAGCATTATAGGATGAAAACCATTGCAATTAAACCAACACAGATAAAAGTCGGTAATAACTTTTTTTTTCCATTTAAAGAAAATAAAATTTAGTTTTGAACCTTAACAATAGCAATGGCAAAACATACTGAGGATTTTGTTCCTTACCTCAAAGTAGGTATCAATATAGTCGGACACAATGTGCTCAGACTTGGGCTTGTTTTGACAATATACCACGTACATGTGCAACCTGCGCTCCTAAACAGACAACAATCACACAAATTAACATAGAAGTGCATTAAAGAAAAAAAAACTTAGTTTTGTTTCCCAATTGGGTCTTTACTATCTGGACTATGATGGCATTCTTCTGCTTTCATTTTGTTGCACTTATTTTCCACCCCCCCCCCCCCCCCCCCCCCCCCCCCCCCCCTATATA